CACTCCCGGGCGTGGCAGTTCAGCAGGCAGGAAGGGGGACTGCCCTGTCTTCCAGGTGTCAGCACCGCCACTCCGCCCCCCCCCCACTGCTCTCCCCGCTCTGACTCAGCCCGGAGCTGAGCTGCACACAGTAGGCTTGCTCTACCAACTGCCTCTGTCCTCATTCCCTGAACCCCATTGACCCACACAGGTACCTACACGTGCTCATACATCAGATGCATCTTTTCCTTCCCAAGTCACACTTGGGAGGCTGTGGCACCCACGTCCAGAAATCCAGGACTGCCAGGAAGCGTTTTAAAATGTTTAAGTGCATTTTTCATTCTTAAAAAGAAACAAAACATCAAAGTACTATAGGCTTGTTTGGGAAAATGCACACAAGAGTAATGTCTTGTGAAGCTAAAAGCAAAAGCTCCCTTTTATCTCCTCAAATCCTACCCCTCTCATCGTCGGCATCTGTTTGAGTCCCTTCCAACCATGTCCTGTGCATTTATAAACACATGCACATAAAACTTTCTAGTTGCACGTGAACGCGCAGGTTTAGCACCACTGGGATCACACTTACATATTCTACAACTTACTTTTCACCCATCTCCCTCAGGCGAGCTTTCCTTGAGACATACAGATTATCCGGTCGTTTCTAACCACTCACGCAATAATATGGATGGGTCATAATTTATTTAACCAGTTCCCTGTGGATGGACATTTGGTCTGTTGGCCGCTTTTTCTTAGTGCTTATAATAGCAGAGGAAGTCCTCGTACTCCATGTGTCCTGCCCACATGTGCGAGCATTTTACAAGAGTAGATTGGGCAAGTGGAATGCTGGGAAGTCATTTAGTCACGCGTCATTCATTCCAGGAGCATGTATTGAACCCTTGCAGTGTGCACCAAGCCCTGGGCGCCCCTCTGCCCTCACGATGCTTTCCGTGCAGGCCCGGGCCGCTGTGCAGAGAAAGGGGAACCTTAGGCACCGTGGTGGGGGTGATAGTTGGGTGCCCACCGTGCCCCTGGCTCACACATCAGAGGCCTTAGCCCCATGGCCAGTGCGCCCCACCCCCCCTGAGGCTGGGCCTGTCCTCTGGCTCCAGGTGGAACAGCTGCAAGCAGAACAAGCAAGGAGCCAACAGCCGGCCGGTGAACCAGACACCCCCGCCCGAGGGGGAAAAACTCCACAGCGACAGCGGCATCTCTGTGGACAGCCAGAGCCTGCACGACCAGCAGCCCCACACGCAGACGGCCACGGGCCAGGGTGAGCCAAGGCCGGGGGCCGGGGACTGAGGCAGGGCCATTAGGGGTGATGAAGATTCGACTCTAGGAAGGACTGCTGGAGGGGCTGGCTCCCCAAGCCTCTGGGTGGAAGGATGGGAGAGTCCGGGTGAGGGAAGTCCTTTTCCCAGAGAGACTTGAGAAATGGAGGCTTTGACAAACTGGAGCATCCAGACTCATCAAGCTAATTGTCCCCCCTAGGGCTAATTACTCCCCCAAGTGGCTGCAATTAGCCTCCTGCCCTGGACTTCTGGGGAACAAGTGGTTAATTATGTCCCCTAATTAGTGGCCCAGCTCCAGGACACTTGCTACAGCTGAGTCTGGGACTGAGAAGTCTTGTCTCCTCCTCTGTCTGGATTAATTGCTGGGGGACGGGAAGGGGTCAGGGGGTGGAGGTAGTGCTGGACTCTGGGTGGGGAGGCACATGAGTCAGCATCCCCCCAGACCTCCTCCGCAGCTTGCACCCCCCACTCCCCCACCGAGCCAGGACCCCATCTCGGCCATCCCTCTGCCTGTAGGCCCCGGGGCAGGGGCCCTGGCGGGTGGTGTCTGACTCCCCCTGGTTCTTGGCAGCCCTCAAGGGGGATGGAGGCCTCTACAGCAGCCTGCCCCCGGCCAAGCGGGAGGAGGTGGAGAAGCTGCTCAATGGCTCTGCGGGGGACACCTGGCGGCACCTGGCAGACGAGCTGGGCTACCAGCCTGAGCACATAGACTCCTTCACCCACGAGGCCTGCCCTGTCCGCGCCCTGCTCGCCAGCTGGGCCGCCCAGGACAGCGCCACGCTCGACGCCCTCCTGGCTGCCCTGCGCCGCATCCAGCGAGCCGACATCGTGGAGAGCTTGTGCAGCGAGTCCACCGCCACGTCCCCCGTGTGAGCGGACCCGGGGGCCCCTGCCCTGCCCCACGTTCCGGTGGCTGATGCTCCAGCCAACCCCGGGGGCCAGCGTCAGAGCTGAGCTCCTCCGGGCAGGGCTGTGGAGCCCGGGCCCCTAAACCACAGCCCTGCCACTGACCCCTTGTGGCCCCATCGCTTCTGACCACACTCCCTCTGCGGCGCCAGAAGTGCCCCTGCTGCCTGCCCGCCCTGCCCCTGCCCCTCACCATCTCCAGCCTTCCGCTCCTTCTCCCCACGCTTCTAGGCAGGCCAGCTCCTCCCACCATAGCAGGTGTCAGAGCTGGGGGGGGGGGGGGCTGACACCAGGGATGGTGTTGGGGTGATGACAAGGCCCCAGAGACTCAGAGAGAGACTGAGGAACCAGAGCCATGGACTCTACACTGTGAACCTGGGAAAGAGGGAGCATCATCGTGGCCTAAACCCTCCCTCAGCCCCTCACGTCCCCCCTCTGGCCAAAGATGAAGAGGCTCGAAGGCTGGTCAGAGCGGGAAGGGGGTACTGAAATCTAGTCCACCCTCTTGTTTTACCTACAGGACAGTGAGGCCCAGAGAGAGGCAGTGACTGGCCCAAAGCCACCCAGTAACGGGGTGGCCAAGTGTGGGCTGGCCTCCTCCTCTCTGAACGAGGGGTGCAAGCCTCAGCTTTGCTTAAAGGCTGGGAGAGGGGGGCCAGGCGACCCTCCGGGGAGTGTTGTACAGCCAGATCCGGTCCACCCTCCACCATCTCCAGACCTGTTCAACCCTAGGGGACACAGGATGCTTTACCCAAGGCTTGGTCCATGGATCCATTATAACCCGAGTCAGCTTGGGGTTTGTGGGAAGGGGTGCCACTTCCCCCCTCCTGCCCCCCTCAGGCATGTCAGTGTGGCATCTTGGGTGTGGCCAGTCTGTAGGTGCCTTCTATCCCGGCACAGACCCAGAGCCAACACAGGCAGTACTCGGGGTTAGGGGCTAAGGACCCCCCACATACACCACACACACACACACACACACACACACACACACACACACACTCACACACACAGCGGATGAGAAATCTTTTCTCCACGAGTTCTTTCTCTTGGGCTGGGACCGGATCCTGCCCGGGGCAGCTGCCAGAGAAGCATCACAGGGAATTGAACTCTGCTCAGCCGTCTTCCCTCGCCCCCGGGTTTGGCGGGCCAAGGACGGCTGAGGCTCGAGCTGGCGCCTGCCTTCCAAGGGCCTGCACATGGAGGAATGCTGCCCCCGCCTCCCCTCCCCTGAAGCCACGGGTTTGGCTGGGCCCCGAAGGTTGCGAAGAAGAAACTTGGACTGGTCTGGGAATGCAGCAAGAAGGAACTGAGTTAAACTGCGGGCCCTGGACGGTCTGTCCAAAGTCTCGAGGGCCCCACAAAGGACAGCTTTTTCCCTAGCTTGGTGCCAGGAAGGGGCCTGGAGGTCCCTCCTGGCCTGTTCTGTTTTGCTTGATGTTGGAATGAATGGCTCCCCCCCTCTATTTAGCATGAAGGAGCCCAGAGCAGGGGGTGCGCCCACAGCCACCCCCTCCCCCGCCCAGGGTTCTCCCAACCCCCAGCCAGGGACTGGGAACATTGTATGTAGATGGCGTTCCTTGGACCTCAGTCTGTGATGGGAGCAGGAAACTCACCCGCTGGCCCCTCGCCTGTGCACCCGGGAGCGGGGCAGAGTCTGAGGGTATTTATTTTCTGCCCCAGCAGTTGGGAGCGGTTGGAGGGAGGCAGGTATGTTTTAGCATGTGTTTGGTTCTGGGGCCCCTCCTACCTCCCTTTGGGCGGAGATGGAACCCTTGGGGCCCCCCAGCTGGGGGGCTGTGAGCTCCAGACTCCCGACACCTTCCCCTCGCACCCTGTGTAACCATTTCTTGGGCCCTCCTGAAACTTACACATAAAACATAAATGATGAACATTAAATAGCAAAGAAAGAAAACTGGTGCGGCGACTTTCTGGAAATGCCTGTGTTTTGAGTTGGCGGAGGTTGGCTGTGTCACAAGGACCCAGGTGTCATTTCCCACTCAGGTCCCGTCCGGTCTCTCTGCCCCGTCTCCCTCCTGTACCCACACCACATGGGGAAGTTTTAACAGAAATCCAGCAAATGCGCACGTATAGCAGCCATGGAGTTAACTTACGTGGGGTAGGGAGGGAGTGGGAGCACTTTGTCCCCAGATCTGGGAGAGGGAAAGTGAACACGGCCATGCAGGAAGCCGGCCAGCTGCAAACTTGACCAGATGTCAGAAGTGAAAGTGACCACAGGGGAGCCAGGGGCTTGCTGGAACGGCCAGATCACAGCCCTGCGGCTCCCAGCCACCCACACGGCCTGGGAGACACTCCCCCCGCCTCCTCAAACACACGCACAGGCTCTGGCTCCAGATGGCCCCGAGGAAGCCTGGCTGACCCGACCTGGAGTTAGGCAAGCCCTCCCTGCGGCTCTCCCAACTCTGGCTCCTGCCAGCCTGGCTTTGAGCCCTGCTGGGCCCGGGCCTGGGAGCTCCCTGAGCTGCAGGGTTCCGGGCCCCAGGCCTGTTCCCCTCTCCAAGGCTGGCCAGGCAGCTGGTCAGAGCCGCTCAGCCCCTGCTGGTCCCTGACCTCTGACGGGGCTGGCTCGTGGTTGTTGGGAAAAGCACGGAGGCTTGGTCTTCCCAGAAAGAAAAACAAACGGCCTTCCTGACCTCAGATTCCCGGGAGGGGTCAGCCGGGCCCCAACCAAGAATGAGGCTCGAGTTGGGAGGGGCGGCTGTCTTCCATCTTCCACCCCCAGACGGAGAGGTTGTGAGGAAGGCGTGTTGGGGATGCGATAGGTGGGAGAAATGACCCTGGTACTTGGGTAGCACCCAGGGTGCAGTGTGATGGGGAGGTGGTCTCTGTCCTGAGTGAACCTCCCATCTGATGGGGAGGAGCCAGTCCCAGGCTGGAGGATACTTCTAATCTGACGAGGGAGGCACCGTTCCTGTCCCAAGGGAGCCTCCGTTCTGACGGGGGAGACATGGCACCTGGGGAAGGAGAGCCCGACGCTGCCTGCGCGGATAAGGGAGACACCAGTCCCTGCCTGCAGCGGCCTTGCCGTCTCGAGGGGGACACAGCAGACAGGCCCCGTACCGTGTGCAGCGCCACTCGAGGGGTGCGTGCGAGGTCCCAGCCCAGACCCGCCCCTGCCAGGGACTAGGGAAGGTCTGTTACAAAAGGGCCGTGGAAGCTGAGTCCTGAGGGCTGAGTGGAATCAATGAGCTGGGGGAGGACAGTGTCCCTGGCAGAGGAACCAGCTCAGGAAAGGCCCTAAGAGACAGAAGAGAGCCAGGGGCTTCAGCACATGCTGTCCTTTCTGCCTCGGACACCCTTTCTCCTTCTTTTCCAAGTTACCCCCCAGTTCGGTGCTTCGCTGGGGAAGCTCTCACCACACCCTGGGCCCAACGCGGGCTTCTTGATCCCAGGTTCAGAGAAGACCACGCGCCACTCTTTCTCTCTAGAGCACTTGTCTCTCTGCAATTAGGCACCCGTCTGAGTGATTATTTGATTACTGTAAACTCCAGGAAGCCAGAGACAGGGTCTGGTTTTGCTCACTTTCTAATCCCCAGCACCTTGCCTGGCATAGAGCTAGCACCCAATAAAACCTTGTTGGCTGAATGAGTGGCGTGCTCTAAAGCAGCCCTGTCTGATAGAAATAGGATGCAAGTGGCATATGTGATTCTCAATTTTTTAGTAGCCACCTTACAAAAGTAAAAAGAAGCAGATGAAATGAACTTAACGTATTTTATTTAGCCCAATATGTCCAAAGCATCATTCAACATGTAATCAATATTTTAAAATGACCAATGAAATGTTACTTTTTTTCCCTACTAAGCTTTCAAAATTCAGGATGTATTCTGCTCTTACAGTACATCTCAGTTGGGCTAGCCCAGTGGTCGGCAAACCATGGCTCGTGAGCCACATGCGGCTCTTTGGCCCCTTGAGTGTGGCTCTTTCACAAAATACCACAGTGCGGGCGCACATGT